TGGAAAGATACAAATTTAGGAGCAGTATCTCTGAGAATCTTAGGTGGCATGTGATTAAAAACAGGCGTGTTAAAACAAGAAACCAACCATAACTTTTATTTCTGAGGACAACTCCTGCCTATCCTGTTCCATCCAGAGGAGTGTGTTTATCTGCTCATCCTATTCTGTCACTTCTTTGTTGTTTATGTAGTAAGTTGGTAGTTTGTATCTGTGCTTGTTTTTATACTAGTGGTTTTCAACCTTGACTAGTTGAAAACTGTACCTGCTGGGTCCTCTAAAAATTTAGATTCAGAAACTCTGAAGTAGACTCTGAATGTTTTGTGTGTGTGTGTGTGTTTAAATGTTCCATGGGCAAATGTGGTGAGTAACCATTTTCCTACTCTATTACCAGGTTGTAAAGTTTGGGCTTGGATACTAGTGCCATCTTTGCTCCCTGCATACAGTTAGTTAGCAGTAGACTGGTCTGCTGCTAACACTTCTCCATCTTTTCCCTGAGTCTTTCTCTATTCTTGTTGCCTTCATTACTCTCCTGGACTTAGGGAACTGGTCTCCTAATGGTCTCTCAGTTGAGGTTTAAACCCCTTAAATCCATTCTTCAAGCTGCTGCCATAAATGGATGATTGGATCAGTTTAACTCTGCGTGAAAAATGGATCCCAGTTGTCTGCAAAATAAAATTCAAACTCTATAAAAGATACTCCATAATCGGGCTCTTGACTACTTCTCTTTCTTCACAGAATGTCCCTTTCCTTCTTTATTATTTATCATGCTGAACTATTTCTTGTTGTTGTTGTTGTTATTTGCCATCGAGTCGGCCCCGACTCATAGCGACCCCTCCTTGGGTTTCCGAGGCAGTATCACTACAGAAGTAGGAATGCCCAACCTAGATCTCTGAATTTTATTTTCTTCCTGTCTTGATACTCACTAAGATTACTGCTGGCATCACCCATTCTCCAGCTCTAGAGTTTATCTTTAAGGACTTTTCTTGGTCATCACCTCTAATGAGACCTGATACCACTTCTCTTTTGAGTAGAATTAACCATTACTTCCTTAGTACTCTTCATTCTTCCCTAATGTGAATTTTTATCATAGGACCTGCAATACTTATCCATGAGTTTATCTCTCTACCCTAGTGAGAACAGGAAGGGACTATTAATTACCTTTGTATATCATATCGTTTGCTATAAAGCAATCATGGAAATGCAGTAAATACCAAAAAATGATCTGTATTCATATTCATCTTTCCTTACCTTTTTATTGGTATACATATCCTATAGGAATTTGAGAACTTTCACAGTAAGTCTGTTTATTAAAAAAAAAAAAAAGGAGGAGGAGAAAAATCCCACTTATAGTAAAGGAAATGGAACCCAAGAGATCCTAAAATTAACAGAAGACCTATTGATTTTGCATTTCAACATCTGCCTATTTGTTGCAATTTTGAATACAGATTTAAAGTAGTAAGTGCTGCTAATGTCCTTGGTAATGGCTACTTTGGGGGGAAAAATGCCAAAATTACTGGTTTTGTGTATCAACCATTAATATCCCTTTTTCCCTAGCCATCTTTGAATCCAGAAGCTGGGAAACAGAATCAGCCATGCAGACCTATTGGGACCCCTTCTGGAGTGTGGGGTAGGTCAGTTTTGCCATTTTAAAGACACAGATTTGAATTTTTTCTTATGAGAGAGAGAAGCAAATCTCTTTTATTTGTTTGCCTCTTTATCTCTTATTTCTTTATCATCTCATTTATTCCCCATGGTAACTAACATCTGTTACCTCTTCACTAAGTGACTAAGTATAGAAGGTCTGCCCTTAAAATTACATCAAAATGTAGTCACTGCAGTAGAGTCAAAATACAGGTAATTGATAGCTTGTAGATCCCTGAATTTGGAAGCATATTTTAAGTAAAGGGAGAATAATACAGCGATTTAAAAATAATTTTTAATTAACATTGCTCATTCACTTGTAACACTGTATATTATGTGTTACAGTTAATTTGTCTTCTAAGTGTATGGTGGGGATATACAGCAGTACTTCCTAGCGTTCCTTCATGTTATTAAATATTCTTCAAGCATGTACTTTTAATGACTATATAATACCACATGTACTTTTAATGACTATATAACACCGTATGAATGACACTCAGTGTCTCTTACCATAGTAGCTACAACACTGTATTAACATCTATTTGTTTCTTGGTTATAACCTCCTTAAGGGTGGGACAAGTTTCATATCTTTTTCTTACGTATGCCCCTACCACTCTCATATAAACACATAATAATTGTTTGAATTCCAGCTACTATAAGGAACAAATAATTAGAATTTATTGGGTCACTGGGAGAAATATCCAGTGAGCATTCCACTGTGTTTGGTGCTTATGAGCAGTACAAAGAAATACATATCAGTTGTGACTCTTCATGAGCTTCTAATCTAATTAAGATGATAGGATACAATAATACATAGAATATCAGGGGATTATTATGAAATAATAATAGATCCTAAAGTTAAAGGCATAAGATTTCACCATAGTCTTATTTGGAATCCTCCAGATTACAATTGTTGGATGTTTTTTGGCAGTTATAAATGATGTTTGTTGTATAGGGCAGAAGGAAAACATAAATAAGTATATACATGTTTACATCTATATGTTGGAAAAAAAATAACCTTATAAAACATTACCAGGGATTAATTCAATCTGTTTCAAACCAAATCTGATCTATGGATTGAGATTTTTGGCATTTACAGATTGGATTCTTCTAGTCCCTACATCAGACATATTTAATGGCCAAGCATATTATTGTGATGGCTTTAGCATCATATCTGAATATTAGATTTACTGTACTTTCTCCTCTGTTAATGCTTCATCATTGGATTCCATGGTGGGCTCCTTTTCCCAGTTTCCTCATTTCTGCTCATTCTGGTGCTGACACAAGCTGCTATTCTCAGATATATTGTAACATGGTCCATACCTGACTGATCACACCATAAATTAGATATGCTATGCCCCTGAGGAGCTCTGGTGGCATATTGCCTAAGGCCTTTGGCTGTTGACTAGAAGGCTGGCGGTTCAAACCCACCAGCCACTCCTTGGAAGGAAGGTTGAACAATCTACTTCCATAGTGATACCGCCTCAGAAACCCAAGGAGGGGTCACTTATGAGTTGGATTCAACTCCATGGCAGTGAGTTTTTCAGAATTGATGCCCCTGAAGCACTGCTAACATCTTCAGGTATTCTGACTGATTTTTTGGTTCAGTATCAAGTCTACTGCTTTCTTTCCTACAGTTCTCAAGTAGTATGACTTCTCTTAAGTACACACCAGGAAATATTTGACCCTCAGTCTCAACTGTTAGCTCTTCACTGAAGGAGTGACCTTGGTGTAGAACTATGCTTTGTGTTATCCTACAGGTGTGATAGTCTTTTGTCTCTTCACTACTATATTTAACAGAAAACCCACCTAGTGCCAAGCAACCCTCCAAGATGCTGGTCATCAAAAAAGTTTCCAAAGAGGATCCTGCTGCTGCCTTCTCTGCTGCATTCACTTCACCAGGATCTCACCATGCAAATGGGAGCAAATCATCAGCGATGGTCCCAAGTGTCTACAAGAACCTAGTTCCGAAGCCTGCACCACCTCCTTCCAAGGTATGATTTGGAATCAATGTAAGAATTTTGTACAGTAGAGGTTTGAAAAAATCAGGGGAAAAAAATGCAGTAAATTTACTTTTTCATATCCAGTCATTCACTAGATACTCATTCAGTGTCTGCCATATCTCCAGATTCTTTATTGCTGCCAAGTGGATTTTCAGCAGGCTTCTCAGACTCAGTAGCTTCTTTTCATGTATCTCCACCTCCTGATTTGCTATTTCCATTAATAGCATCAACAGTTATCTGATTACTCAACTAACTACCTTGGCTTTTTTTTCCTTCATCCATTCCCCTCAACCAGGCAATTACAAATTCCTGTCAGTTATTCGTCTGTGCTGTCCTAGTTTAGGCCTTTGTAAATCTTGTGTTTATTATTTGTGCACCCTTCTATTTCCATCTCTCTACATTCATCTTCTGCTTTGACTTTAAATGACTTCCACTTTTCCATACTTTGAATATCCCTTCCTCAATCCCTTCAGTGGCTTCAAACCATTTATAGCAGGGGTCAGTCATTTTGTTTTTGTTTTTGTTTTCAGGGTCAGCTAATATTTTAGACTTTACTGGCTACGTACAGTCTTTGTGTTTTGTTTTAACAACCCATTAAAAATGTAAAATCAATTCTTAGGTTATGTGCCATATATAATTTATGACCAGATTTAGCCCATGGATTATAGTTTGCCAACCCCAGATCTTATAGTACATTGTCCAGACTCCTTAATGATTCTAAGTTCAATCTACTTTCAAATCTTACTGTCCCTTCTTTGTCTTACCTGGGGAATTATCCTTCAAGGTCATGGAACCTTCAAGCCCATGTCAACCTCTGACTTTTTTTTTTTTTTTTTTTTTTAGTACATACATCTAAAAATTGGTTAATCCTTTTATCTATGATTGCATAGTACTCAGTGTCTCTTACCACAGTAGCTACAACACTGTATTACACCTTTTTGTTTCTTGGTTGTAAACTCCTTAAGGGTGGGACAAGTTTCATATCTTTTTCTTACTTATGCCCCTACCACTCTCATATAAACACATAATAATTGTTTGAATTCCAGCTACTATAAGGAACAAATAATTAGAATTTATTGGGTCACTGGGAGAAATATCCAGTGAGCATTCCACTGTGTTTGGTGCTTATGAGCAGTACAAAGAAATATATATCAGTTGTGACTCTTCATGAGCTTCTAATCTAATTAAGATGATAGGATACAATAATACATAGAATATCAGGGGATTATTATGAAATAATAATAGATCCTAAAGTTAAAGGCGTAAGATTTCGCCACAGTCATATTTGGAATAGCTAAATTAATTGAACAGTATTTATTACAGTTCAGATGAACAGGAGTGTTTCAAACTATGATCATCAGGAGAAGTTTTATAGAAAATTTAGAATTTGAACTGGTCTTTGGAGGATGGTCCAGATTTGGATAGGCAAAAGAATCTGAAGGGTGTTGCAGATTATAATAGAAAAAGGTAGTTAAATAAAAGTTCTGAAACAAGAAAGCACTAGTCAATGTTTGAGAGCTAGTGAGTGAACCATTATAAACACTCCTGGTAGCACTGGACCTTGAGAAGGAAATACTAGGACTGAGAGCCATCATCCTAGAGATAATGCTGGAAGCTTTCAGAGTAGATGATATCCAAGGAGAAAGGACAGAAAGAAGAATAAAGAATTTTAAATGAAAATTTGGGGTAAATATTTGTTTTGGGACAGAAAATTACAACCTAACCAATAGAACTGAGAAACTGTAATTCAGACATACCATAAAAAATGAAACCTACTGCCCTCAAGTAGATTCCAACTCACAGAAACCTTGTAGGACAGAATAGAACTGCCCATAGAGTTTCCAAGGCTTAAAATCTTTAAGCAAGCAGACTGTCTCATCTTTCTCTTACAGAGCAGCTGCTGGCTTTGACTGCTAACCTTTTGGTTAACAGACAAATGCTTTAACCATTAAGCCACTAGAGAGCCTTCACTCAACTTTATGCCATCCAGTACATTCTGACTCATAGTGACCCCCGTTGGGTTTCTGGGGCTAGAAATCTTTACGGAAGGAGATTGCTCCATCTTCCTTCCGGGTTTGAACTGCTAGACCTTCTGGTTAGCAGCCAAGTGCCTTATCCACTATACCACTGGAGCTCCTTAGAGCTCCTTTAGTCATTGAAAAAATATGTATATATGCTGTCACAGAAATCAAGGAGGGTTTATTTATGTTCAGGAAAAGTTCATGTGTATGGGTTTTGGAACCTTGAATGTGAGATGTTTGAGGAAGGAGAGGTGAGATGACTAATAGGCAGATGTTAGTTTATCCATTCATTCATTTTATTGTAGTATTGAACAATAACTGAACAATGAGCATCTGTGCTAAACACTGTATTTAATTAGGGGCACAAAATAGTACGTAGCTTCTAATAGCAGTCTTCACTGAGTAATGGAGAGACTGGTGTAAAAAATAATTGTGCTCCTCTGCCTGAAGAGAGTCATCAAAGTCTTAATTGAACTGGGTTTTAAATGGTCAAGGAAAGGGAACTACCATCTGGGAACTTACCATAGTAAGAAGTCTTAGGTCTTCCTAGACCTTCACCTTTACATATAGTGTATCATTTCATTCTCACTCTAATCTTGGCATGTATATTATCATAGTGCTGTTAGGTGCTGTCGAGTCGGTTCCAATTAATAGCCATCCTATGTACAACAGAAAAAAACACTGCTCCACTCTCAAAATTGCTACATTTGAGCCAATGTGTCTGTCTATGTACTTGAGGGTCTTCCTTTTTTGCTGATCCTAAACTTTACCAAGCATGGTATTCCTTCTCCAGGACATGTTATCTCACCATCCACCCTTCTTAGAAGCATTCTGGCTGTACTTCTTTCAAGACAGATTTATTTGTTCTTCTGGCAGTGCTTGGTATTTTCAGTATTCTCTGCCAGCATCACAACTCAGTTCTTCTTCAGTCTTCTTTATTCATTGTCCGGCTTACACATGTATATGAGACTACTGAAAATACCATGAGTCAGGAGCACCTTAGTCATCTAAATGACATCTGCTTTTTAACACGTTAAAGGAGGTCTTTTGTAGCAGATTTACCCAATGAAGTACATACATCATTTGATTTCTGACATGGGCTTCCATGGGCATTGATTGTAGATCCAAATAAAATTAAATCTTTGTCAACTTCATTCAGTCTTTCTCTGATTATCATGATGTTGCTTATTGATCCAGTTGTGAGGATTTTTGTTTTCTTTATGTAGAGGTGTGTACTCCATACTGAAAGGTGTAGTCTTTGATCTTCATCAGTAATACTTAAAGTCATCTTCACTTTCCACAAACAAGATTGTATCATCTGCATATCACAGGTTGTTAATGAGTCTTCCTCTAATCGTGATGTTCTTGTTCATGTAGTCCAGCTTCTCAGATTATTGCTGAAATTATACAGATTGAATAAGTATAGTGAAAGGATACAACCCTGACACACAACCTTTCCTGATTTTGAATCACACAGTATCCCCTTGATCTGTTTGAACCACTGCCTTTTGGTCTATGAACAGGTTCCATGAGTACAGTTACGTGTTCTGGAATTCACATTCTTTGCAATGTTATTTGTTAGGATCCATGTAGTCGAATGCCTTCCCTTCGACATTAAGATGCAGTTCTTTGTGGTATTGTCTACTTTCAGCCAAGATCCATCTGACATCAGCAGTGATGTCCTTCGTTCCACATCCTCTCAATACAGCTTGAATTTCTTAAAGTTCCCTGTCGATGTATTACTGCAGCTGTTTTGAATTATCTTCAGCAAGATTTTACTTGCATATGATACTACTGCTTCTGTTCAGTAACTTCTGCATTCTGTTTGATACCTTTCTTTGAAATGGGCACAAATGTAGATTTCTTCCCGTGAGGTGGCCAGGTAGCTGTCTTCTAAATTTCTTGGTATAAATGAGTGAGTGTTTCCAGTGATCCATTGTTTGTGGAAACATCTCATTCTTGGAAGCTTGTTAGTCACCAATGTCTTCCATGAAGCTTGAACTTCTTCCTTCAGTACCATCTGTTCTTCATCATATACTGCCTCCTAAAATGGCTGAACATGAACCAGTTCTCTTGGGTACAGTGACTCTATTCTTTCCATTTGCCCGTGATGCTTCCTGCATTGCTCAGTATATTGCCCAGAGAATCCTTCAAAATTGCAACTTGAGGCTTGAATTTTTTCTCAGTTCTTTCAAATTGAGAAATGCCAAGCTTACCTTTTGGTTTTCTAATTCTAGGTCTTTGCACATTTCATTATAATACTTTATCTTCTTGAGCTGCCCTTTGAAATCTGTCGAGCTCTTTTCATCATTTCTTCCATTTGCTAAAGCTACTCTACATTCAGGAGCAAGTTTCAGAGCCTCTGCTGGCATCCATTTTGGTCTTTTTTTTCCTTGCCTTTTTAATGACCTTTTGCTTTCTTCTTGTATGATGTTCTTGATATCATCCTACCACTTGTCTGATCAGTCATGAGGGCTGTGTCAGAGCCATTCCTGGCACGGTCTCTAAATACAAGTAAATTATGCTAAACGATGAATATTGGCTCTTGTGGGCTTAATTTTCTTCAGTTTACATTTGTTCTGGCTGATGAGATTGAGCTTCCTTGTCATCTCTTTCAACAGATGCAGTTGATTTGATTCCTGTATATTCCATGTGGTGAGGGCCACGTATATAGTTGGCATATATGTTGGAAAAAAATTTTTGCAATGAATAAGTTATTGATTTTGCACAATTCTATCATGTAATCTCTGGCATCATTTCTATCACTGAAGACTTAATTTCCAACTACTGATCTTCCTCGTTTCCAACTTTTGCATCCCAATCACCGGTAATTACCAGTGCATCTTGATTGCATGTTTGATATATTTCAGACTGCAGAAGTTGATTAAAAATCTTCAATGTCTTCATCTTTGGCATTACTGGATGGTGGATGAATTTGAATTATCTGGTCTTCCTTACAGGCATATGGCTATTATATTGTCACTGACAGTATTGTACTTCAGGGTAGATCTTGAATTGCTCTTTTTGATGATGGATATGACACTATTCCTTTTTAGTTTGTCATACAAATAGACCATGTAACTGTCCAATTCCAATCCAGAATGGCCAGTACCAATCCATTTCAGCTCACTAATGCCTAGGATATTGATCCTCAATCGTGGTATTTTATTTTTGACAGTTTCCAGTTTTCCTAGATTTATACTTCATGCATTCAACATTGCAGTTACTCATGGATATGTGTAGCTGTTTTTTTCTCATTTTTATTATTCACAAAAGAGAATTAAAAGATGTAGAATGAGAGGGAGGAGAAGCTATCAAAGGAACTTGAAGTACAAAGGAGTACTTGAACTTGAAGTACAATTGGGAAAAGTTTGAGTCTAATGATTTCAGACTTCTTAGCCCAGTCTTAGAAGAGAAGATCATTTTAAGTAGAGAGGGTTATGGTTGATCTGGAATATAGCAGGAAAGAGGACACATTTAAGAAATCACACTGGTTGATTTGTAGTTCACTTTTGTAGATTTAAAAAATACATTTCTCTAATAAAATAGTACATGTTGACATAGTGGTTTTCTTCAGTGGGCAGCCAGCTCTAATAGAATTTAAGATTCGGTTGGAATAAAATTGGAGCAGAGATGTTGGTATCCTGTTGGCATGTAATGCTCTCCAGTAAACTTTCTATGATACTGTAACAAAAACCCAAGATTGTATGTTCCCTGAGATGGCAGTGTTAAATACAAGGCATGTGATGACAACTTCCAGGAAGCCATGAGTAATCTTTGATAGTTAACCTGGCAGATATTTAGATTTTTCAGTGTAAGAAAAAAAAAATGAATCTTCATTCTGGTTAAAACACTGCCTCTCTTACCTGTTTGTATGTTCTCTTTGGAGACATTGTAGGACAGTGAAAAAACAATTTCCCTTACTGATTATCTTGGGCAAATTGTATAACTTCATTATTCTCATCTGCATTCTCTGTAAACAAAGAGAACATAGTATTATAACTGATAGCATTAAGGATTAAGTAAGATAATATGATGAGCGTCTGGTATGTGGTAGGTACTCAGTAGATACCTTCCCAAAGCCTGTAGTGCCTTCTTTAACTCCCCTCAACCAAGAAAACACCCAGGAAAGGAATTCTTTTCATTCAGACCTTTCTTCCCTCTCAGGTTTCTTGTTCTAACTTTTCTGTTCAAGACAAACAGAAGCTTTTCACTTGCTTTAGCGCCCTACTCCTTTGACTTACCTTATCTTTCTTGGTCTCCTCAGTGCAACTGAATCAGGAAAAAAAAAAGTGTTTCAATTACACTGTTCCAGGTATACTGTAGGACCTCTGGTAGCATAGTGCCTAAGGCACTTGACTGCTAACCAGAAGGCTGGCGGTTTAAACCCACCAGCTACTCCTCGGAGGGAAGGTTGGGCAACCTACTTCCGTAGTGATACTGCCTCAGCAACCCAAGGAGGGGGTTGCTATGAGTCGGGTCCAGCTCGATGGCACATAACAACAACAACAGGTCCACTATGCTGCCGTCGTAGTTGGAATGAGAGCCAAAGAATGGACACACAGGCTCCTTAGTGCTGAGCAAAAGGCCTCTGGATTAAATCAGAATTGTACAGCGATTGCCATTCCCCACCCTAGCCTGCAACTAGCCTCTTTCCTCAAAAGTTGTAGAAACCAGCATTTTTCTTTTACCTTAGTGGGATTTCAGGGTTATATCTGAGGTTAACAAGCCCACCATAAATGAAAACATTTTAGGTCCAGATATGTTTGCCAGATGCTGTATATTATATCTGCCTCTCGAACTCACAAGCCTATGAAATGCTTTAAGAAACAGCTTAGTAAAGAAACCTGTTGTACTTTGCTCACACCAGCATCTCCCAGGCTTACTGAACTAGAGCTCTGTTTTAGAAGAATACTTACTAACATCTCATTGGTCTTCAGGTTCCCATCTGCCTTTTTCCTTCAGGTGCTAACCTCAGAAAGAAGTTGCATACCTCCCAACTGTGTTGAGATGAGTAAACTCTGGGAACTTATGTTCCCATTTCTTGAATGTCACTCTTTGGTTTATGATCTTTTTAGCAGAATTTCTATTTGCATGCTTGTTTGGACTGATTTGTTCTTTTCTCCCATGTAGCCCAGTACATGGAAAGCTAACAGAATGGAACACAAATCAGGATCCCTTTCTTCTAGTCGGGAGTCTGCTTTTACCAGTCCAATTTCTGTTACCAAAACAGTGGTTCTGGCTGGTGGCACAGTTCTAAGCTCTCCCAAAGAGGTGAGTGTGGGCAAAGCAGGGCAGCCCTTACTGGACTTGTCATTTTCTGTTTACTTGTGCTGAGGTACGCATTGTGACATGTATAGCTCTAACTCTGCTACTTGTAGCTGAGCTCAGCTGAAAATTCTTTCTTTACTCATGTTTCCTATTAGCATCTAGACATGGGCAGTAGTTGGATGTGGTAGTTGCTTTGTGATGGGCCAGTGTTTGCCTATATTATCCTGGCATTCTGCTAGTGGCTATGGGAAGATTAAAGGAGGTGTTCTATCAGCCAGGTTCCCTGGTTGGTACAGGTGGTTAAAACTGGCTCAGCTGCTAACCAGAGGCACGTTGGAAGAAAGGCCTGGTGGGTGTCTTTCTGAAAAATCAGCTTTTGAAAACCCTGTGGAGCACAGTTCCACTCTGATACACACGGGGTGGCCATGAGTGAGAATCACATGCATTGTAGCAGGTTTGGTTTGTTTTTTACATTGGCCAGTCTTAACTGTAAAAAGCGTACAGAACTAAACTATGAATGGGATTTTTTTTTTTTTTTTTTTTTTAAATAAAATAGCAGAGTGATAAATAGGCTATAGATTCTGGGAATCAATGCAATAAAGAAGTAACTCAGAGAATCCCAGTTCCTGCTCTTTGGTTCAAAAGCAAACTGTTTGTGGTGTTTGCCCAGAGTCCCTCCAGCACCACCCCTCCAATTGAGATCAGCTCCTCTCGTCTGACCAAGTTGACCCGCCGAACTACCGATAGGAAGAGTGAGTTCCTGAAGACTCTGAAGGATGACCGGAATGGAGATTTCACAGAGAACAGAGACTGTGACAAGCTGGAGGATGTAAGAGCAGAGGGGTTTTCTGGGACAGCATAGGATGAGGACAGGAAGGGCTTTGCCAATGTTTTCCTTTGTTGTATATCTAGTTATTTTTCTTAAGGTATGACACATTTTTTAAATGTACAGAGATTTTTATTTTTAATTCTTCCTGTGAATTCCTGCCCCGTAGCTATCTCCCTGTGCAAATACTGCCCTTCTTATGTCCCATGATTGATTGATCTAAGGCGTATACCTACCTGGTGTAAATGTTCACCTTATATGGCTGTCTATCTTTGGCTAGACGCCATAGGAGTTCAATTCCAGGCCCAAAAGGTAACTAGGGGCCGTAGGTCTTAGTGGTTTCACCGATCTCTATCAGACCAGTAAGCCTGATCTTGAATGTACAGAGATGTCTGTCTGTATACTAACAGCCTAGTAGAGCCTGGAGGAAAGTGAGTTTAATCCTTTATTCAGCAGAAATAAGTAAGAGGTTTGTTTGTCCTGCAGTAAGAAGCTTCAGAGTTAGACAGTGCAAGAAGTGGTGTCATTAGAAAATCATTACCTTTTGGTCACATTGGAATAGGATGGTTAGGTACCTCTAGGCATTCTACCCGTGTTCTATTTAGGGAAGACATATCTGTCCCTTTTTTTAAAGCTTCCTTAGAAATCATACTCACAAGTTCCACTTACATATTTCATTGGGCACCTAGTCAGATGGCCTCTTCTAGCTGCAAGAGGAAAATAAGCTGTTTTTAGTTGAGCACATTGGTTTCCCCTGTCAAACAATCAAAGTTGTGTTAGTAAGGAAGAATAGGGAAGGGATGGATATTATTACATAATTATCTGCTTGTTTCTGACATACACTGAAATTAAGAAAGGATGATTGTCAGTTGGTGTCCTTTGGAAATCTTAGCAAGACCTCATTTTTAGGTTTTAAGGAAAACCTAGGACTTGAGGCTGTCTTCTGGGAAGCCCTTTCCTAGGTTCTGACTCCTCAAATCTGTGGGTTGCTTATCTTGCTACAAAGGACTCTTAAACGAAGTGGTGTTTTTTTGTTTTGTTTTTGTTTTTTCCCCCCTTTCCCTTACAGCAGTTGGAGAACAACAGTACACCTGAACCAAAGGAAAATGGAGAGGAAAACTGTCATCAGAATGGCCTTGCTCCCCCTGTAGTGGAGGAACGAGAGGTCCTCTCACACTCTCTGGAAGCTGAGCACAGGTGAGTGAGGATCAGATCACAGGGCATGCTACGTATGACCTGCAAGGACCTTGAACACACTTGAGGCACTGTCTCAGACCAAGTCTGGTATACAGAGAGATCCAGCCAGCCACATAGCTTGTTCTCTCGGTGTGCCCCACCTTGTCCTTTGTCCCCTGAACATTTCCTTTCAGACTCAGCCAAAGTTTTGACACACTTTTTCCCAGTGCTTTCATATGGTTTACTTTCAGACTCAGTCTGTGGCTCCAGGAGGAGATGGGAGGAGAGAGAAACCTGTTTCCTAAACTTGTGCTGGCCCTGTAACAATCTCCTGGCTCCAGATGAACAGTTACCATATGACTCCTTTCAAGAGTCTTAGAAAGCACGACCCTTATGTGGAAAGTGTTGTTTGCATGAGGGCCTGGAACACAGCGCAGCCAGCTGTCTGGGAAGTACACAGTAGTTGGGGCTTGCCAAGTATGGCAGTACTTTCCTGAAAGGAGGCTCCTATCCAGAGATCACAAGGTTTTGATGGAGTGCACGATGCAATGAAATTGAAAGAGAACTTAGATACACATGTGGACATGTGCTAAGTTGTCTTGCAAGAAATAAAAGTGAGATTTCTTTCTTTGTTTTGATCTATGGGCCCTTGTGGTGTTTGGCTCTTTTCTGCTGCTATTACTGCCTGTATAGTTCCTGTTAGGAGCTCTGGTAGCATAGTGCCTAAGGCACTTGATTGCTAACCAGGAGGCTGGCGGTTCAAACCCACCAACCACTCCTCGGAAGGAAGGTTGGGCAATCCTACTTCCGTAGTGATAACTGCCTCAGAAACCCAAGGAGGGGTTGCTAGGAGTCGGGGCCGACTCGATGGCAAATAACAACAACAACATAGTTCCTGTTCTCTAAACTGGATATACCTTTCATCTCCTAATTTAGTTATGAGCATCTGATTATCAAATTAAACCCTGTCTCACTGGGTAAAAGAGGAAAAATCAAGTTCCTACTCTCACTTTGGGAGCTTTGGGGGCATAGTGCCTAAGGCATTTGACTGCTAACCAGAAGGTTGGCAGTTCAAACCCACCAGCTACTCCTCAGAAAGAAGACTGGGCAATCTACTTCCGTAGTGATACTGCCTCAGAAACCCAAGGAGGGGTCGCTATGAGTCGGAGACGACTCAAGGGCACATAACAACAACAACTCTCACTTTGCAACACTGCCCAGTCTTGTACCATGTTCACAAATGTTGCTGTTTGAGCCTATTGTTGCAGCCACTGTGTCAGCCCATCTCATCGAGAGTCTTTCTCTTTTTTTGTTGACCGTCTTCTTCACCAAGCATGGTAGTGTTCTCAAGGGACTGGTGCCTCTGACAACATGTCCAAAGTGTGTTTAATTAACTCTTGCCATCCTCAATTCTAAGGAATGTTATGGCTGCTTCTTCGAAGACAGATTTGTTCGTTCATTCAGCAGTCCATGCATATTCAGAACTCTTCACTGAGAACATAATTCAGAGGCATCAGTTCTTGACTCTTTCTTACATTCCAGCTTTTGCTTGCATAATGAGGCAACTGAAAGTACCATGGCTTGGGTCAGGCATACCTTAGTCCTCGAAGTGACACCTTTGCTTTTTAACATTGCAGCAGATTTGCCCAATACCATACATCATCTAATTTCTTGACTGCTGCTTCCATGAGCATTGACTGGGGATCCAAATCTTCGATGACTTCAGTCTTCATTTATTGTGATGTTGCTTATTGGTCCAGTTGTAAGCATTTTTTTTTTTTTTTTCTTTATGTTGAAGTGTGATCCATACTGGATGCTGAAGTCTCATCCTCATCAGAAAGTGCTTCAAGTCTGCTTTGCTTTCAGCAAGCAAAATGTCATCTGCATATCGTAGGTGGTTAATGAGGCTTCCTCCAATCCTGTTGCCATGTCATTCACATAGTCCAGCTTCTTGGATTATTTGCTCAGCATACAGATTAAATAAATATGATCAAAGGATGCAACCCTGATACACACCTTCCCTGATTTTAAGCCACGTAATATCTACTTGTTCTGCTGGAACAACTGCCCTTTGGTCTGTGAAGAGGTTCTGCATAAGCACAATTAAGTGTTCTGGAATTCACATTCTTCACAAAGTTAACCCATCATTTGTTAGGATCCCACAGTAGCCTTTGCGTAGTCAGTAAAAGACAGGTAAACATCTTTCTGGTGTTCTCTGCTTTTAGCCAAGATCCATCTGACATCAGCAGTGATAACACTTGTTCCACATCCTCTTCTGAATCTGGTTTGAATTTGTGCCGGTTCCCTGTTGATGTACTGCTGCAACCATTTTTGAATTATTTTCAGCAAAATTTTACTTATGTGTGATACTAATGACACTGTTTGGTAATTTGCTGTTGGATCACCTTTCTTTAGAATGGACACAGATATGTGTCTTCCAGTCAGTTTGCCAGGTAGCTGTGTACCAGATGTCCTGGCATTGATGAGTGAGTGCTTCCAGAGTTGCATGCACTTGTTGAAACATCACAGTTGGTACTTTGTCAATTCCTGGAGTCTTGTTTTTCACCAGTGCTTTTGGTGCAGCTTGGACTTCATCTTTCAGTATCACTGGAAGTTGATCATAATCCTACTTCCTGAAATGGTTGAATGCTGACTAGTGATTGGTGACTGTGTATTCCATACATTCTATTTTATTTTTGATGACTTCCAATTTTCCTAGATTCATATTTTATACATTCCACATTCTCATTACTAATGGATGTTTGCAGCTGTTTTTTCATATTTTGAGTCATATCACATCAGCAAATGAAGGTCTTAAAGCATTACTCTATTCACATCATTAAGGTCAACTCTACTTTGAGTAAGCAGCTCTTCCCCAGTTGTCTTTTGAGTGTCTTCGAACCTGAGGGGTTCATCTTCTAGCAGTATGTCAGACAGTGTTCTGCTGCTATTCATAAGCTTTTCACTCGCCAATTCCAGCATTTTAGCAACACACTACTCCATCACAGTACAACAAATTAACAGATGAGTGGTGATTAATAGAGATACAAAATAAGCATTCTCGTGATATTCTTGACTTTCATAGTAGTGGTTCTAAAGTATCACCACTTTTTATTGTAGGCTTTTGATAGACATGCTATATCAAGATGAAGAAGTCTCCTAGTCCTTCTTGCTGAGTTTTTTCATTAATGAATGCTCACATTTATCTTTTTTTTTTTTTTTCCTGGATGTACTGAGATGATCATATAGCATTTCTCCTTTAAGCTGTGTGTGCTATTGAGTCGATTGTGATTCACAGCAACACTCCAGGACAGAGTAGAACTGTTTCACAGTGTTTATAGTCTGTAATCTTTATGGAACTCTGAAACTTGCTCTTGAATGGAGAGCAGCCAAAGCAAATGGAAGAAACGACAAGATAAAAGAGCTGAACAGAAGATTCCAAAGAGCAGCTCGAGAAGACAAAGTCAACTATTACAATGAAATGTGTAAGAATTGGAGTTAGAAAACCAAAAGGGAAGGACATGCTCAGCTCTTCTCAAGCTGAAAAAACTGAAAAAAATTCAAGCTTCAAGTTGGAGTACTGAAAGATTCTATGGGCAAGACATTGAATGATGCAGGAAACGTCAAAAGAAGATGGAAGGAATATACTGAGTCCCTGTACAAAAAGAATTGGTCGATGCTCATCTATTTCAGGAGATCAAGAACCAATGACATTGAAGGAAGAAGTGGAAGGTGCACTGAAGGAACTGACAAAGAACAAGGCTCCAGGAGTTGACAGAATACCATTGAGATGTTTCAACAAACAGATGCCACTCCAGAGGCACTCACTCATCTATGTGTCAAGAAATTTCCTCCCATCTTCTTTTGATGCTTCCTGCATTGTTCTATATTTTACCCATAGAACCCTTCAGTATTGCAACTCGAGGCTTGACTTTTTTCTTCAGTTCTTTCAGCTTGAAATGTTCTGCCCTTTTGGTTTTCTAACTCCAGGTCTTTGCATATTTCATTATATTACTTCATCTTTTTGAGCTGCCCTCTGAAATCTTCTGTTCAATTCTTATACTTCATTTTTCTTTCCATTCACTTTAGCTACTCTACATTCAAGAGCAAGTTTCAGTCTCAGATTCTGACATCCATTTTGGTCTTCTCTTCCTTTTTTTTTTTAATGACCTTTTGCTTTCTTCATGTATGATGTCCTTGATGTCACCCCACAACTCATTGGTCATATAGTGTTAATGTGTCAAATCTAGAGATCTCTAAATTCGTGTGGGCCATAATCAGGGTCATACTTTGCCTTTTATAACTTGTTTTAATTGTTTTCAGCTTAATGCTTGAACTTGCGTATGAGCAGTTGACGGTCTGATCCAGATGACACTGACCTTTTCCATTGGCTCTTTCCACAAATGTAGTCAGTTTGATACCTATATATTCTTTCCAGCGAGGTCCATGTGTATAGTACCATTTATGTTGTTGAAAAGGTATTTGTAATGAGTAAGTCATTGGTCTTGCAAAATTATATTGTGTGATCTCCAGAGTTGTTTCTTTCACCAAAGCCGTATTTTCCAACTACTGGTGATTCATCTTTGTTTCCAACTTTCACATTCCAGTTGCCAGTAATTATCAGTGAATCTTGATTATTTGTTTGATTAATTTCAGGCTGCAGAAGTTGGTAAAAGTCTTTAATTTCTCCATTTTTAGCATTAATGTTTGGTGCATAAATTTGAATAATAGTCTGATTATGTGGTCTGTCTTGTAGGCATATGGATGTTATCCTGTCACTGACAGCATTGTACTTCAGGGTAGACCTTGAAATGTTTTTTTTTACAATGAATGTAATGCCATTCCTCTTCAATTTGTCATTCCTGGCATACCAGACCATATGTTTATCCAATTTAAAACAGCCAGTGCCAGTCCATTTCCACTTACTAATACCTGGATCGACCTTTATGTGTTCCATTTCATTTTTTAACTTCCAATTTTCCTAATTTGTACTTTGTACATTGCACATTCCAATTATTAATGGATGTTTACAGCTGTTCTTATTTTGAGTCACGCCACATCAGCAGATGAAGGTCCCAAGAGCTTTATTCCCATCCACCTCATTAAGGTCAGCTCTACTTTTGAGTATGCAGCTGTTCCCCAGTCATATTTTGAGTGCCTTCCAACCTGTGGAGCTCGTTTTCCGGCACTATATCAGAAAGTATTCCATTGCCATTATCAAGTTTTCCTGGCCAATTTTCTTAGAAGTTGATTGCCAGATCCTTCTTCCTAGTCTGTCTTAGTTTTGAAGCTCTGCTGAAAGCTGTCCACCATGGGGGACCCAGCTGGCATTTGCAATGCCAGTTGGCATAGCTGCCAGCATGACAGCAGCATGTAAGCCACCACAGTCTGACAAAGAGGTAAATGGTAGCACTGGGCAACAGAAAATAACCAAGTTCCTACACTTAATTCTGAGCACGCCAGTGCTCCTAGGCAGGGTGGAAAGCTGCATACTGCCTGCTCAAGCTTAAAGGCCTCTTATTTTTCGCCTGTCCTTCTGCCTCTGCCAGGTTATTGAAAGCAATGGGATGGCAGGAATATCCTGAAAATGATGAGAATTGCCTTCCCCTCACAGAGGATGAACTCAAAGAGTTCCACATGAAGACAGAGCAGGTGTGTCATTCAATTACCCATAAATCTTTCTTAGAGACAAATTAACAAGTAGGAGAACCTTAGAGAACCCTGGTTGATTTTGAGAAAACTGGGGGGGGGGGCACGGGGGGGCGGAATCAAGTAAGTATTTAAAACAGTAGAAATGTAGGCCTCTCACTCTGTTTGGGTAGTAGGGATCTCCAGTGGTGGGTACAAAAACCAGGGCAATGGTTAGCATATTTGAGAAAGGAGGATGTTCCTTCATTCTGGCAGTTGAATTGCAAGGCCATGTTCCAAAGTTATGTTCTGTGCCTGAGAGCTCTTTGAACCTTAGGGAAGCAGGTTTATCCTATCTTGCTTCCATCTCTGTGGTTTCCTTCTAGTATTCTAGGCAGAGCTAAGAAACCAGAGTTTGAATTTATTCATTACATGCCTGGATGCTTTCCCTAAATAAGTAAAAATCTGATAGACCCTGAGGTTTATAGCAGTGAACAAGACAAATGGGTTTTCCACGAACTTCATGGAACTTATATTCTGGTGACAGGTATTAAAACATAAACTAAAATTTAAGTTTAAAGGGAGATGGTATACACTGACATAAGACCTTGCTACTTAGAACCATATTCTTGAGAGCTTGTTAGAAATAGAGGATCTCAAGCCCCACCCTAGACATACTGAACAGAATTTTTAAGACTGTTAGGTGATTCATATGTACATTAAAGCTCGAGCAGCCCTGCTCTGTAGGCCCCACTATGATCTTAGACCTGGCCTTTCCCTGGTCCCGTGGATCAGTATAGTCATCAACAGTTATTCTTTCTCTCCCATGCTTCCTCCCACAGCTAAGAAGAAATGGCTTTGGGAAGAATGGCATCTTACAGAGCCGCAGTTCCAGACTGTTCTCTCCTTGGAGAAGCACTCATAAAGCAGAGTTTGAGGACTCAGACACAGAAACCAGTAGCAGTGAAACATCAGATGACGATGCCTGGAAATAGGCATATAAATGCTCACAGTTAAATCTGACCCAGTGAACTCCGCCTGAGTGTTAGGGAGTGTACAAAAGAAGTCGTTCTTTTCCTTAAGTTGTTGAATCCTTCATGCACAAGGGAAATAATCATATCCAAAGAGAGAGCGATTGGCTTGTTCAGCTTTTGTTGTTGTTCTGCCCTGTTTTCTGCTTAATAGAGAGGAGTTTTGTGGTGGGAAAGATTTTTAAATATTTAGAGAGAGAGATATACACACACACAGTATATATGGGGCGACGCACAGGTGGAAGCTGGCAGCGCAGAGGAGACACTGGCCTGCAGCAGCAGCTTCTGCTACCAGCCCCTGGGGCACTCACCCCTGTGCTCAAGCAATCATTGTCAATGACAAAGTGACTATTGAAGTTATAATTGTATTAAATTAATGCTAATAATTTGGATATTTTATTTTATTTTTGGCTGCTCGGGTAACCTTAGCCCTTAACCAAGCAAATGTGGTTTTTCTTTTTTTTTTTTCCTTTCCTCCTTTTTGGGTACAGCTGTAAAATATTTGGATATAGGAAATGTGTTATTCTTGCAGCCTTGATATTCAGGGTGGATTGTAAAATATAAATTTTTGTGAGATTTCAAAGATTAAGATTATTTTGATAACATTATTTACAGATTTAAAAGATGTGGCTATTACAAGTCTGTTATGAGGGGGAAAACTGCATAAAATAACTAACTTGGAATAAATATTTTGCATCAGTTTGGATTGTCTTGCGTAAGTATTTCTTTAAAATTGGATGCAATGCTTTCTTTTATAGAGGAAACAGTTTGAGAGTCTGGAAGAATCTGAAATCAGGCACTCTTCTCCTTTTAGTAGATTCTTTTTTGATGCAGAAAAATTTGTGCAATAAATTATCAGCAATAAAATTTGACACCCAGTTTTTTCTCCAAACCATTTTTGACTGCTTATGATTTTACCCCGAGGACCCCTGGTGGTAAAAATGGTTGAGTGCTCTCCTGCTGACCAAAAGGCTCAGTTCTAACAGTGCTAACCCACCCAGTGGCTCCACAGGCTAAACACCTGGTGTAGTAGCTAAGGTGGTGTGTCAACTTGGCTGGGCCTGGTTGAGTGGCTGGGCAGCTGGTCTTGTTTATTCCCCATGATGAGACTGGCAGTCAGCTCCATGGTAGGATCTACCACAAGCAGCTGAGTAGCTGCTTTAGGGATGTGGTCTGCTTTCCGTATATAAGAAGCATCTTTGGGAATAGTCTCTAGCTTATGGCACGATTGAACCCTGCATGTAGCCGAGTCTTTGTTCAGCAGCCTGCCATGCTCTGCCGATCCTGGGACTTTCATTGGACTTGAATCAGTGGCCTTCCATGTTGTTTGGTAACGTCGGGACTGTGCCATTTTATTTGCCGACCTTGGGTTTGTCAGCTTCAGCAGCCAGTAGCTGCCTGAGTGAAGAGATGCTTTTAGCTTCAGTGGGCCAGGAGCCAAAGGCAGAGCTAAAGCCAAGGTCAAGGGGCTTTCACCCAGCCCTTAGAGCCTGGCACTTTGAACTCGGACTTCTAGCCTCCCAAACTGTAAGAGAATAAACTGTTTGTTCAAGCCATCCCGTTTGTGGTGTTTCTGTAAGAGCGGCACTAGGTAACCAAAACACCTGGCAATGTGCTTCCTTAAATATTACAACCAAGAACACCCATGGGGCAATTCTACTCTGTCACATCAGTCAGTATGAGTCATTGTCTACTGGATAGCACACAACAAACAATAATGTATTTACCAATGTTAGTATGTTAAGGAAGGTCGGTATGACAGGACCATCCTGCTACACAGACCCTGGGGAGAAGGAGCTTGAGACAGTGCTGGTAGGATGGTACTAGTGGAGGAAGCAGGCTGCTTTATTCCAGATATACTTCCCAAGTCCTTTTTATATGTCTTGGGCACTGTCCAAGTCTCTAGGAGATGCAAGAAGTTCACAGCCTAGTGGAGGAAAAAGTTATTAAATAGAAGATGAAACCTTAGGCCAAGGTCTGCTGACAAGTTATACAAGAAACATTTACTGGCACTGTTTGGCCATCCCTGCAATAATTAGTCCCAAATGGATAGTTAGGAGCTCTGCTGGCCTAGTGCCCAAGGCACTTGACTGCTAACCAGAAGGCTGGCGGTTCAAACCTACCAGCCACTCCTTGGAAGGAACATGGGGCAATCTACTTCCCTAGTGATACAGCCTCGGAAACCCAAGGAGGGGTCCCTATGAGTCGGGTCCTACTTGACAGCACATAACAACAATGGATAGTTAATTTAGGGACTAACTAGTAGAGGCCCAACCTTATACTGTAATGGGAGATGAATATAGATGGAACAGACCTGATGGTGTGTGAGAATGATTCTTAATCTGGGCTCTGGGCCAGAAGGGAAGAGATTAGCGGCAGAGAGACCAGTGGGACATGTGCTACATTTTCAAAGGCAGAGACCCTATCTGCCATACGGTATCTATTGCCAACGGTATACTCGCTGCCACTGAGTCGGATCTGCTCGTAAGGACCCCTTTGGTTTCCATGGCAGTATCTTTACAGGAGATCGTCCAACCTTCCTTCCGAGGAGTGACTGGTGGGTTTGAACGGCCAACCTTCTGGTTAGCAGTCAAATGCCTTAGTCACTGCCACCAGAGCTTCTGACAATGGTATAAGTCAGGGGAGCCAGGGCAAATGCAAGTGGTAGTTGAGATAGAGACTAAGAATTCTCATATTTCACTGGATGTGTGATGGAATCTATCAAGATTGTTTAGGAGCTCTGGTAGCATAGTGGCTAAGGCACTTGACTGCTAACCAGTAACCAGAAGGCTGGCGGTTCAAACCCACCAGCCACTCCTCGGAAGGAACATGGGGCATCTACTTCCGTAGTGATACTGCCTCGGAAACCCAAGGAGGGGTCGCTATGAGTCGAGGCCTACTAGATGGCACATAACAACAACAACAGGAGAAAACTTGCCAATTAAATTATTACACTCCATTAATTGTGGATACTGATTTCAGTGTGCATCTTACAGTCAGTGAAATACTATAAAATGAACTAAGATTGTATCATGAAATTATTAACTAGGAGTCAGAAGTAGATTGAAAGGTACCTTTTTCTCGGAATTTAACTGGATTGAGATCATACATTTTGAAACACTTTGTTATCCTTCTGCCGGTGGTACCTTACCCTTACATAGTGTGTAAGTCCTTGTCTTGTTCAGAAGTGTTCTCATTGCACTTGTAGCTAGCTTGGAGCCCCTGCCTCTTATAACCTGACAGATGTAAGTCTTTGCAGATAATGGGAGTAGGAGAGAGTAAGTTTGGAAAGGAGTAACCTTCTAGAGGAGATTCCCTCAGCTGATAGATTAGGTATGTTCTGGCAGCGCTTTCATTTCCTTAGCTGTGCCAATTATCTGCCCCTGACAGCTGAGCTCAAATACACACACATACATGCAGGGAGTGTGTGGGGGGGGAGACCTTTAGCCTCTGGTATGACTTGGTTGTGTACAAGTTGTGGTTGCTCCCAGAGAGGTATGGTGCTGGGGAAAGCTAGCTGTCCAATCTAGGGAGAAGAGTTTCTAGGCAATCCTCCCAAAACAGTGAGGCTACTTCCTAAGTGTTCCCTAGACAAGAGGATGATAACTTGCACTACATTCTGCACTGTGTATCCACTTGAAAACAGAGCAATGACTCTTGACCAATGGGTGGGTGAAACGAGCCCAGCTATTTCAGGTGACAGTTTTCATTCCCCTTTATTAATATGGACAAGAAACCCAACGTGTCTTGCCCAAGCTCATGCAATGAGGTGAAAACAGACTGTGAAGCTTTGCAAGCCAAGTGTGCCCTCCAAAGGTGACCAGGCCTTCCCCGCCCATTCTAAACCTGCCTGGACCTGTAGTTGCTGCCCAGGGAGCTAAGGCTCCTCCCCAAACATAAACCCAAACCCAAAGATCTTGGAGATTTTCTAGACCTCTCTCATCTGTGTTCCTTTCCCTTGCCCTTGTTTTCCACAGGTTTTGGCAGCTAACAGGAAAAGGGTCCCATCCAATGGCCTCGTCCTCCGGGGAGCCAGGGCTCCTGTCCTGTGGGGCCTGTGACATGGTTTTCCATTCTTGGGCCCTGTTGGCCACCCACACCCAGCGCTTCTGCATTGGCCGCACGAGTCAGGAGGTGACACTTGGAGCACAGCCCTCCACAGCCACTGAACTAGAGGGCCCAGAGGTAAGGGCTTCCGCCGTGGCCAAAGGTGGGGTATTCAGGCGACCCTAACCAGGGATTCTCACGTATACCTGTTCCCAGGTTGTGCCACGAGAACCCATGAGCATCTCAGACCTGGAGTCTAGCAAGTCGGCTCTAAAGAGGCTAACAGAGGAGGTACACCTGGCTTTCCATGGGCTGGAAAACTTTAATGTCCTTCCTAAACCTACAGATAGGTCAGATTACAGCAACACAGACCGAGTTCACTGTTAACACCAGGTGCAGCGTCTGCGGCTGTCCCTCCAGGAAATGCAACCCAGGGTAACAGAGTTCCCCAGAGGGTCAGAGGAGCCCTGGAGGCGCTCTGGTTCATTGGCGCCGATTCAGGGACCCACCTCATATGCCACGGGGAGCCCCGACGAGCGGCTGCAGGCGCTGAACTTGAATCACACAAGGCGCGTGGCAGAAATCGAGGCCCAGGGCCGGGCCCTGGAGCGACGCGGCGAAGGTGAGTAAGAAGTTGGGGACCAGGGACCCGCCACGCCGCCTGGCCCTAACGCTGCTCGGACCTGTTCTGCCCGGCTCTTTCACTCCTTCAGAACTGAGCCTTCGCCTCCAGGGGGTGGCCGAGACCCGGGGCGGGATATCTCGCCTATTCGCCCTGGAGCTGGAGCTTCGAGAACTCCGGACTGAAGCCAGGCGGACGCGGGGAGCTCTAGAAGCGCTAGAGGGACGCATTCAACAGCTACAGCCTGAGACTGGGTGAGTTCGGCGGAGCAGGACCAGGCGCCCTAAGAAGCGAGTCGAAGGAGGGCGGAGCGGAAGGGCGGGGCCTGGGCGGAGCTAGACCCCACGAAGCGCAGGCCTACACGGAACTGAAGGGCGGCTCGTGTGAGAGCCAAAGGGGCGGGGCTGCAGGAGGCCCTGCCTCTGGTCGGTGATACCTTCTCTCTGCCCGTCACCTCCGACCCCAGGCCCCGGCCGAAAGCTTTGCGAGAGGCTGAACTCGGTTGCCCAGTGCTGCAGGCCAACCCAGGGACTCTGGCTGCTGAGATCGGGTGAGGTCCGAGGCCCGTGGGCGGGTTTGGGACGAAGCGCTGGATCCGGCGTGTAAAGACGTTGCCTTCTTGTGCACCCTCCTTAGGGCCCTCCGTGAGGTCTACGTTGAGGGCGGGGGCCGGAACCCCGATGTTCTCGGCCAGATGTGGCAGCTACAAGTGGAAGCGTCAGCACTGGAGTTGTGGCGCTCACGGGCTCGCAGGGGTAAACAGGAGGGGCCAGCCAAGAGGGCCTCTTGGAAGCTGTGCTCTTAGAGTCCCTGGAGGAAAGCTGAATGTCTTTGTGGCAGTAACTAGAATGAGCTGACAAGTCCAGCCTTGTCCAGGGATTCGTAAGGCTGGAGATCTGGTCAGAGCTGCACCTGGCCAGCCACCGTTAGATGTGACAGGTTAGACTTGTTCCTCGCAGAAAAAAGAGCAGGTGCCGCTCCGGGGGAGCTTCTGGTAGTAGAGGCCGAGAACCGACGCTTGGAGGCAGAAATCCTGTCCATGCAGATGCAAAGGGTCGCGGGCCCGACACCCTGGGGTCAGTACTTTCCGAACCCTACCGTCACCCCTCCTACGCCAACAAGCTGGGCTCAGAAGAAAGGGGTAGGGCTATGCATGGGAAATGAAACCTGTGTTTTAGCTCCGTTTCCCCGTGCCAGTGTTTGTATCCCCGTGATTTCGCTAATTCATTTACCGGCTCCACTCACTGGGTAGTGGTATCTCAGCCCAGTCTTAGCTTCCTGCTCAGGAACGCTGTAACTTTTCCTCTGCTCCTAGGGCCCGGGAATCTGCCACTCCTGGCTAGTCCCAGACCACGCCGGAGGGGAAGGGGAGATCCCCCACTCCTCCCACCGCCGGTGGCTCCCCCACTGCCGCCGCTGCCACCCTCCACAGAAGCCGCATTTTTGGGTTGCAACGGAAAGGTTGTGAGAACCCAAGGGGTGGGACGGAGTCAGCTCTGCTCTTTGCGGTTGAGGGAGCATGGCCAGCTAGGAGACTTTTTGTTCCTCTATAGCCGCTGCTTTCTGGAAACATGTTTAGGAACCTGGGTCTGGACCCACACCTTCTACCTCCATCTGACGTGCTGGGCCCTGCTCCCTATGACCCCGGGTGAGTCCTGCCCCTTCCTTTGACATCCATCCATGACCTGATCACCAATACTGGTTCAGAGACCAATTAAGGCCAGTTAGGACTGGGAAACTGCCTGGGAGGGTGGGTTGCATGCATGTGTTTACACCAGCATTTTCCAGGGCCGGCCTGGTCATTTTCTATGACTTCCTGAGGGGCCTCGAGGCCTCTTGGATTTGGGTGCAGCTAATGACTGGTTTGGCGAGAGACGGACAGGATACAGGAGGGACCACAGCATTGCCCCCAGCCGTTTGCTTGCCCCCACCTCCAGCTCCTGGGCCCACCGGCAACTGTGCCATCCTTGCCAGCAGGCAGCCTGTACCCAGGTCAGTAGATCAGGGTTATGACTTTGGGTTCCACAATTGAGCCTTTTCTCTCTCATTTTTCAAGTAGTGTCCTTAGTCTGGCAGTTTTCTTGTCTGTATACAGGGCCATTATTAGTTCTGAGGATTGAATCTTAGGAAGGGCATACAGATCTGTTGACACCTTTTTCGGTTGTTCTGCAGACTGCCACCCTCACCATCAGTATCCTTAGTATGCAAGCTGCAGGCCTGGCAAGGGCTAGCATGGGCTAGGACAGCACAGCCGAAGGCCTGGGCCTCACTGGTATTATTTGACCGGGATCAGCGGGTACTAAGTGGCTGTTGGCGCCTCCCACTTCGGTCCTTTCCTCTGGATTCCACCCTTAGCCTTGGGCAGCTGAATGGGATTCCCCAGGTGAGTATGGATGGTGGTAGCTCAGTTTAGTCCTGCAAGATCGAGGTGCAGTGCCACATCAACTTTCCCCAGGCAAGTGAGGCAGAGCTCTTTCTGCGGCTGGTGAATGCAAGAGATGCAGATGTCCAGAGGATGGCAGAGGTCAACCCATCGAATGCCAATGAGTACCAGTACCCACCTCCGGTGAGGGTCCAATTTATGAAAGGGTCAGAAAATGTATAGTTAATAACTAGCCTTTACTGGCCACTTTGTGCCACTCTACCAAATGCTTTCTGTACATAAACAACTTACATCCCTATTCCAAAAACCCACACATTACTGTCAATTCTGACTCATAACAATCCTACATGACAGAGTAGAACTGCCCTGCCCCGTAGGGTTTCCAAGGCTCCAAGTCTTTAAAGAAGACTGCATTATCTTTCTCCTGTGGAGCAGCTAGTGAGTTTGAACCACCAACCTTTTCATTAGCAGCTGAGCGCTTAATCACTGCACCACCAATGCTACTTCACATCCCTACTAGACAGGTACTATTAAGGAGCCCCTGTGATGCAACCAGGTTGCTAACCGAAAGGTTAGAGGTTTGCGACCACCCAGGTGATCAGGAGAAAGAACTCACAATCTGCTCCTGTAAAGATTAAAGCCTAGAAAACCCTTTGGAGCAATTCTGCTGTCACATGGGGTCACTCTAAGTCAAAATTGAGTCTGTGGTGTCCAACATTTAATAGATGAGGACATCAGGCAAACAGGTTTTAAGTGGGTTCACAGTTAAGTAGTCCAGTCAGGATCAAATTAACCTAAGGTAATCTGATGCCAGAACCTGTGCTCTTAAAACTTCCAGTCTTGCTAAGGAGTTGCCTTTCCCTATTCTACAGATGGCCAGCTCATCTTCACTGCAGGCCAGCTCCCTCACCCCCACAGCTGGCTTCCCTGATCCTCCACCTCCTGCACAAGAATCAGATGGAGTCAAAGATGAAGGATGAGTGTGTGGGTCTTCACCACACAGCTCTATCCCACCCCCACTGGGTTTCTGAGCCCAGACACAATGGATGTAGGTATGAATATCTCAAAACACACAGGGCTTAGATTGGGTTCTATTCCAAGACCATCTTAGGGTACAGAGGTAAATAGCAGTTATGAGCACAAAATCTGAGTTCCAACCACAGCTTTACCACTTTCCACAAGTACTTGACCTTTCTGTGCTTGTTTTCTTTTATAGAACAGACTGATTTAAGAATTAAATGAGTATCACATATTTCTATTATTGTCTGGCACATAGGAAGTTCTTTGACATTGACTCCAAAATTCCATCTTTTCAAGTTGATTCAAACTCATAGTGAGTCCACAGAACTGCCCCCATAGGTTTTTCAAGGCTGTTATCTTTATGCAAGGAAACTGCCACATCTTCCTCCTATGGAACAGCTGGTGGGTCTGAACTGCCCACCTTTGGTTAGCAGCCAGGCACTTAACCACTATGCCACCAGAGTTCCTTGAAAAGTGACTAGGGGTATTTTAATTCCAGCTAATGGAACTTGATTTAAGCTCATTCCCACCTGTTCTCTTGCTAAAACTGTCCTTACTGCACTTCCTTCAAATCCCAGCTCAGAACTTCCTCCGAAAAACCTTCCAGACTCTCAAGCACCTCATAAACAGGAAGCTCCTATAGCCTTCTATACTTAGATTTGGGTTAGGGCCTGGCCCAAAGTTCCTCCCAAGTGGGGTCACATGTGACATCTAGCTGAAATTAGATACTGGCCCTGGCCCCAGACTTTCAATCAGAGGAGGTCAAGAGTCTAGGACTCTTAACATTGTGACTACACTGGCCTGACTGGAAAAAAAAAAAAAAGAAGAAGAAGAGCCTCAGCACATGGGCATCCAGTACAAGAGCATCTTCAGAAGCAATATCAAAGCCAGAGTAAGTCTGAGATTCTGAATTGGGGGGGGGGGGGGGGGGAGAGAACCTCCAAAACCCAGGGTGACAGATCCCTCTGCCTTCAACACAGGTTTTAACCTACTGTCCATCCTGTGCTGCAAAACAGCCCTGTGGGTGTCAGAATTACTAAATCCACATATCCCATACTGAACTGCTCTGGGATCCCATTTTAAGATCTTTCAACATAAATCCAGACCAGAAGCCTTTTATATAATCTTTATTTGAAAAGTCTGAACTGTGGAGACTAATAATTCCAAGTGTTAATGTATTTCAACCTGTCTATACAGAAAATGTACCCACCAGCCAAGGCTCCCCAGAAAGATTATTCCAACCACCTTCAGTGTCCCATCACAATCCCTCAGCTTCTTTCAAACTACTGAGCTCAGTTCCCTACAAGTTTTACTCAGAGATCACTTTCCTCATGTCTTCTTCAGAGTTCTTTTTCCAAAGCAGAATTAAAGTCCCAGTTAGAGACTAGGTAGGTAGAACACAGGTAACACCCAAGGCCTGAATGGAAGCGGATAACAGCAGACAGCGAAGTCCATCACCCACAATCAGCACCAAAGAGCAAGATCTTCACTAAAGCTTGTCTTCACAGTCCCCATGAAGGGACAGCACCACTAAAAGTTTGCAAGACAGCTGGGCTCAGTCAGGTATTTAAAATGGAAAAGCACCACTGGAAGCCATACTTGATCTGATCACCTACACACTACACAGACAGGAACTGGGAATTAAAACTTTCAGCAGATTAGTACAGAAGGGAGGAAAAAAGTACTTTTGGCCACTCTATAAAACCTGGAGTGCTCCATGGCACAGATTCAGTCACTATTTTAAGAAGAAAACCAACAAAGCCTCAACCTTTGCTTACAATCTTTATTGAAGTTATACAAAAAGAATCCCCCAAAAGTGAAAAAATACATTATATACAAAAAACTTTCCCTCAGGAGGAAGTCTTGGCTCCCTCTCAACATGCAGTGCTTTCAACTGTAGTTCCAGCCTCCGCTGTCCCCTCCACTGCTACCCGGCTTTCTGCCTGATTCTCAACCTGAAAGACAAACGGGGCCTGGGCGTAAATGACCCTGACTTAAGCCATTCCATTTTATAGAATCATTTGGGTCTCAGTCAGAGGAAGTGAACGCAGATCCTGCAAACTCTGCTTTGCTCCTTACACTGATAAGAGGGAAGTGGCTGGCCACAAAGTATAGGGCAGTTTCCTGGATTCTTTGACTGATTAATTACATTATATTACTGACAGGGCCAGTAGTCGCATATTACATGGAAAGGAAAAAGCTGAAGTGACCCAGTGGTCTTGATAGTCAAGTGCCTTCTCAGACGTTCATTAGGAGGAATCTGTGGTACACAGGTTCCATCTGTCAATGAGACTTCCTGTTTCCTATTCATTGCTCTTGTGAGAGTTGCACTTAAACAGTTCAAACAGGCTCAAGGTGGGGAGCATGCACTCAGGACAGGCTTTCCTAGGCCCTGAGAACAAAAGGAAATGAGACAGGAGGCCAAGCCCCTGCTTAACTGCCCACCTCCTCCATGTTTTCCGAAACTTCATTTCCACTGGGGACCGCATCCCCACTGCCTCCATTCACCTCTGGCTCCTGTTTGGCTTTCTTTGCATCATCTTTCCGGGGGCTCTCTTCCTCTGGTTTCCTCTAAAGATATAAATTGTGAAGGCTTCATAAATGTACTTAATGTTTTTTAAAAAGACAGTGTATCTAATACACTTCCTTAACATCTGTGCAAAGATCCTAAACACCAAGTTTCAAAGCTATAAGGGTCTTTTTCCAGCCATAATGAGGGAAGCAGATGCCAATCTGAACTCTACAGAATAAATATAACTGTCCTAACACACAGAAATTCAACCTCCTTACTGGAATGTTTGGTGGGGTGGGAATAAGGAGTAAATCTGAACAAACTCCTGTATTTGAATCAAGAAACCATGCAGGAGTTAAGACTCTCCTATAAGAGAAAAGAATTACAGCAGAAGGCAGACTTAAGGGGTTTAGGTATCAGCAGGTTGGCTGCTGGATGACTACTTTCAAAGAAAATCTTCCAGTCTCTGTAAGACGGACTTTTCTGGCCCATCTTCCTCAGCAGTTTTCCTTATAGTCCTTGGGCTGAGAGAGGCCAGCAGAGCCTACTAGAAGGCCCTTGCAAAGTCAATGTCTGCAGCTCACAGCACTATTTGGAGGGTTTATCAGAAAGATAATTCCTTGTGTATCACTTGAGGGGTTAAAAAAAAAAAAAAAACCACCAGACTGGGACATAGGTAGAAACACCACTACATATAAATTTACCTTCTTCCTGACAAGGTGGGAAATATCAGTGACACAATTTGATGAGGAAGCACCATCTGCTGGCTTTCTACTGGCAATCTGGCACAAAAAAGGAAGCCTTTGTTAGAAATGTATAAGCTATATACTTGACAATCACTTGAGGCCTAATGTTAAGTGACAAAAATCACCTGTATACCCACCATGGAGACTGAGGAGCCTCCTCCACTAGAAGTGAAACCTGAAGTAGAACTCTCCACCTGTGAGAGACGACAAACCCAAGTGGGTCCCAGGAATAGAACCCAGGCCACTCATAGTGCTACAAGAGTACCTACCATCCAAACATGTAAGTAAGACCTAAAATGCCAGTGGCCTCCACAGAGCAGCAAGATCATTCACCCCACCCTAGCCAGCCCTCAACCCCCAACACAGGCAGTATAAACATGAAATAACCCCTCCATATTCTATCATTACCTGTAGGGTAGAAAGCAGCCAAAAGTAGAGCCAAGTAATCTGGGGTTAATACCCATCAATGCCTCACTATTCTATCTAGTTCTCAGAGATTAAATAATAGCTTAATATTTGTGAAAACAATGACTACTATTAGAAGTATTTTATAGATCAGCCAACTAAGGTAGAGAAAGGGTAAGTACTATACATGTGCCCGTGATCACATGTACACTAAATAGTAGAGATGGAATTCAAACCTAGACCCAGTCTGCCTCCAGAGCATATTGTATTCTCTTATTAACTGTACTATTCAACAGAATAATTAGATGAGCTCATACTTCCCTCTGACAGTCAATTCCCTTGAAACCAAGTCATGACTACAGTTCCTAACAAAGAGAACACCAACACCACACCACGGTTCAATGGTACTAAACATGCTATTATCAAAACGTTAAAAGGAAAGGAACCAACCAGAGTAGCTTTCAAAGCCAATTCAGCTACATTCCCACTACGCTGGGACTCCTTTGCATCTTCTATCTTCTCTCTAATTTCAGGTAATAGTTCCTTCAGCTCCTCAATTTCTTTCTCATATTCAGCAGATGATCCTTCAGCTTCCTTCTTCTGCTCATTTAGTACAGCTACAAAGAATAGGCTAAAGTGATCAGTAACAGTTACCACAAAACGATCCTTTTTTTCCCCCTAAACCTTGTCAGTAACTGGATCCACCAATGTCATCATGAAGCAGCTAGTGCTCACTCACCCATTCTCTTCTCAATGACTTCAATAGACTTGCTGAACTGTGTCACCGCCTCATCATACTGAGAGTTGTACCCATAGGCCAGGCCTAGCTGATAGTGGGTCTCTGCAAGGAGACGGTCATGGGCTTCGAGGTACTGCTCTTGCAGGTTTAAGCAAGCCTGGAATTCCTCCACAGCTTGCACGTAGTTCTCTAAAATAAAGGGAAAAGGGACAGCAATAATAGCATTTAATATAATATTTCCAAATTTCAGACCCAGTCAGTAGACTGCTCCCCAATTTTTTCCATTTCATTTTTCTTTGTAGCATCTTCAGCACACCTAACTGTATTAAAAAAAAAAAAAAAAACCAAAATGACCTAACAAAGTAACTCAGACATCAGTCTAGGGTCTGTATATACTGTCTTTTAAAGCTCACAACTTAAGATCATCAAGGTGGATTTTAAAGAATTTAATTTTAAAGAATAAGAACTAGGGAAAAGGAGGAATTAGGAAAGGGGCAAATTTTTAATGTTATTACCAGATTCAACACTAACTTCTCCAAGTTTAAGATGTGCCTGTGCAGCATACAGCTGAGCTTCTTTTGTTTCTTGCCTAAAATGAGAAAAGTTGAACAGAAACCGTAACAAAACAAAACAAAACACAAACTCACTCCCTCATGTCGATTCCCACTCATAGCACCCCCTCCTTGGGTTTCCGAGGCAGTATCACTATGGAAGTAGATTGCCCCATCTTCCTTCTGAGGAGTGGCTGGTGTTTTTGAACCGCCAGCCTTCTGATTAGCAGTCAAGTGCCTTAGGCACTACGCCACCAGAAACCTTAACAGCACTTGTTTAAACCTAACTGCTTTCTATTTTTAACCATCAAAGCTCCTACCTTGGGGCTTAAAACACCAAAAGTTTTACCTTTTAAAAATGATCTTTGCTAAATCCAACATATCCCAGGCAAGCTCTAGGTTCCCAATCTCTTCCTCTTCATTTTCTTGAAGAGACTAAAGTATATCCAAATAATTGGTATTAGGCAGAAGTACAAGAAAGGCATCTTTAGATTATATAATCTTGAATATTTAATTTAGTATGTTTAAAAAAAAAAAAAAAAAAAAACTAATGTAGTATTCAAATTTCAGCCTTTCTCCCCTAAAAAGTACCTACAAAGTTTCTGTATCAAAATCATCACCTTACCATTATTGCTTTTCAGTGAGATATAAATCTGCCCTATCAGACAAGACTTTCTGGGATCAAATGTATCTATCCATTCCAGGCCATGGATAAAAGATCCCCATTCTGTGACCAAAAAACTGCAATCTGTAATATACATACCTACACAAGTAACTCACAATCCTACCATAAGAAAGCAGACAACAGTACTGAATGGATAATAACTTACCTTGTTTTCAAGAACTGAATCATTTGGCATTTCTTCAGCCTTGTCATTTTCTTTATCTTCCTCTTCTGAGCCTTCAGTTTCTGCAAGCAAAAATTCCTCAGTATTGAGAATACAAATAAGGGTATTTTTTGACTAGTCAGAGCTTCAATCAAATTATCTGTCAATAATCTGAAGTAGGACAGACCACATGCTAATCCAAGTCAGTTAATACTTGAACTGGATTAAGTCAATGGTTAGTCTAATTAAAGTCTAATGTAGACTTAGAATATGTATAATCTAAGTCTATGGGTCAGGCCTTCAGAATTCAAGTCTGAGTACATAAAGGTTGATCTAAATCATTCAGATCAACATAGATTGGCTCTGCCTCTTACTAACTGAAAGCTCCTATCCACATAGCCAGAATAGACAGATGCAAGTAGAGGCCCCAGCCAATGTTCATTAATCTTTAAACCACTCTTACTGAGAGGCTGAGAAATACTAAAATCAAAGTACTCCAGTCCATTCAGAGCAAAGAATGTATGAGAGAATAGCATTCCCACACAGTGCTGTGAAGAGACAAGCACAGTCCTACCAGCTCTCACCAATGAGCATGCCACAGACTCCAGCCAGCTCCTAGCATGTACAGAATGCGTGAGTAGTACCACAATGAGGAATTTTGCTCAGATACCCTTGTTAAAACTCGCAACCTATCAACACATTTCACCATTCTGACATACATACCCACATGTCAAATACCTATAAAGACAAGCTGCTGATATACAGCTCTGCATTTAACTGGTACACTCTCAGTGATAACAAAGCTTAAAGATTTTAATCACTTTAAACGCCAAGGATTAAAATGGGCTTTTTGTTGGTATAATCCATGAATTGGTTGTAATGCACCTACCTCGGGCATCTTTCATTAAGCATTCTTAACACCAGCAAAGTAGTTCAAATATTGTATCCTAAGTACATGGGAACATAAATAAGGCAATTAGGCCTTGGACCATGAAGCTAAGTTTTCTTTCTGCCTATCAATTTTGCTTTAAGATGGGAAAAACAGACAAAGAAAACCAAGTCCCATATGTTACAAATTCCTAACACTACCTAAGTCCTAAAAGAGCCAGTTCAAAAGTCACAAGCTAATTATAACCCCTAGAACAAAGCCAAGCCTTTTGTATCAAGTGACTCAGTTTTCTTTTTTATTCAGTGGTTCTGAAATACAGCTACCCCGACACCACCATTATCTTTTCATGTACAAATTCCCAAGTATTTGTGGACTTGCTTCCCAGAATTTAAGATTACTTGAGGGGTTTTACTGAACAGTGAAGCCCATCCATCCTCCAGCAAAGTGTGCCAAATGGTTGTGGTGAACAGTTATTTCTTACAACAGACTGGGGGGGGAGGTGGACTCCACACACCTGAATCTTCCCATTTTTAGGAAAAATTAAATAATGAAATATTTCTTAAGTTTATAATTCCTACACTTCTTAATTCTTTAGTATCTGTTGCTGCTCAGTATACCAGAATGCTAGACAATGAAATCTAATCTGGCATAAAATATTTATCTAGAGTTTTTCATTAAATTTTTAAAATAAAATTCTTACAATGATCTGAGAAGAATATTGGTCTCTCAGATTCTGGATTGAGTGTGAGAACAGTCTGGAACAAAACTCAAAATCATAAAAAGACCAAGTTTAGTGGTCTTATAGAGCCCTGTGAAACCCCAGACACTGCGGTCCCTAGTTACCTTTCAGGTCTGGAAGTGAACTCACTCCTGTGGCTTCCAGCCAAACAATACAGACAGGCATATAGGGTGAACATTTACATGAGGTAGAACGATCAATCATGGGAGAACAGAAGAAGGGCAGTGTTTGCACAGGGCGCAGGAGTGCATAGGAAAGAGGAACACAGGGAAGAGGTAACTATAGGGAAGAAGTGGGAAGAGAGCTGTGACACTGTGGAGAACTGCAGTCAATGTCTTGAGACAAAATGTATGAACTGCTGCTATATACTAAATGAATTTGCTCTGTAAACTTTCACCCAAATTACAATAAAAATAAAAATACTGGATTATCTTGAGGGATCTGTACTACCTTCACAGAATGATGAAGAGGGAGCTAGGTTATTGAGAAAGTCATTATTTTAAAACAAAATTTTCCAACCGTAGTGTATGCCCAGGTAGTACTGGAAATGTCCTGATACCCTCAGTAAAGAAATACGTTAAACTCAGTATTTCCCAAGCTTGCTTAAAAGAATATTTTTGTAGCCTATTAAAGGCAAAGCAAAGACCTTTAAAAGTTAACTGATTTTTTGGTTGTGCTAATCTTCAAGTAACTACTACACATTGCCTGGTATAGTACATCTGTGGCTACTGTAATCATTAGTTAAAAAAAAAAAAAAAAAGCATGCAAATTATCTTTATTAACAGATAGAGACAGCCCAAGAACTGGCCAAAAAAAAGAAAAGTAGTAGGAAATGAACTTTTAATTTTTAAATAAAGAGAAAATTACTTGCTAAATCTACCAAAAAATATTTCTGAAGGCTGGTCTTGCTATGTAAAGAGGAATAAAACACAGCAAGCAAGAGCCTGGGCTCTACAGCCAGATTCTCGGGTAGGCCATTAACTTGGACTCCCCCACCCCCCAAACCAACCTCACTGCCACTGAGTTGATTCCAACTCATAGCGATCCTTCCCTGGGTTTCTAAGGCGGTATTACTATCTATGAGAGTTGACGGCCCAGTCTCCCTTCCGAGGAGTGGCTGGTGGGTTGGAACCGCCAGTCTTCTGGTTAGCAGTCAAAATGCCTTAGGTGCTATGGCACTAGAACTTCCCCTTGTAACTAGGACAGATTTCTTCTTTCATCTTTGGCTTCTTTTTCTCTCATCACATCATAAACCTGTTCTTTCAACTTTTCCCTTGCTTCCTCTACATGGTTAAAGAACATGAAGCATGTAAAATATGGAAAACAGTACCTGATATGCAACACTAAAAATTATAACATGACTGAAGATTTTATAAACGATTTTAAAAATGAGTAACCAGGAAATTTCTGACAAATATGAGGGGATAGGGGATAAGAGCTGCTGCCTTGCTTCAATGTGAGATCTGGATCTGGATTCCAGAACTGTGTCTTATTGTATGACATTAACAAGTCACATATTCTCTAAGCTCAATTTCCTCACTCACCAGAACTATGTATCACCATAGTATTGTTTTACAATCAGAAGCACTGCACCATGTGTGAGAGAGTTCTAACAATGTTACTTATGATCCAACTGGTTTGTGAACAAATTGTGGGGAAATATGACCTCTGCTTTTGCTTATCATTCAAGGTCCAACTTAGCCAGCAAGAGCTTATTACTGTTCTTGCTCATCATCATTAAATATTGGAGTTTTAAGAAATGAAAAATTCACTTCTGTGCCTTTTCTATAAAGAACTGTTAAAAGCCTAGTAAGCCTAATGGTGCTATTACCATTTAGCCAATTCACTTCTGGTTACCATGCCTGTGGTGGCTGGAGTGCAGGGACCTGCACATAGGTAAAAGGAGGGTTATCGGAACAAGCTGCAAATATTAATGATGGGTGTCTAAAAATCCCAAACTCAAGAGGACTCTTCAAGTAGTCTGGCAGTTATACAAAGTAAAAACAATTAATGGGCATATACCTGTGATAATTAATGCCAATGTTAGATGAACCTTATGTAGTAGAATCCTCAAATGATAACACAACTCAAGTCAGACTTGCCAATTATAAAATTACTAACTAGAGGCTTAATAATTGATGAAATTGTATCACAATAGGCGCAACAGTATTATGCAAAGCATCCATACTTTGTAAGTTCTAAGTAATAAAAAATTCAGTTTAGCAGCCAAAGCAAGCATGAAATGAGGGGGGAAAGCAGCAAGAAGGCTAATGGTTAATTTTCTTTTAGGTTTTTTTTTTTTTTTTTTTAAAAAAAAACTAATATAAATAAGCCTCTAAACACTTTCTGGAGACTAAGGGTAGACAGGGCATCAGAATTCTTTTAACTCATCCAAAGGTGAGTTGCCTCATTTAAATGGCATGCCTGCTTAAGTGTACCAATTCAGTGGATTCTACTGCTCTGTTCCTGCTTCCTAGAACAGAGCAAAGGAACCATGTGAACAGTAAATTAATTCAGAGGCATGCAAGTGAACATCCATTCAGCATTCTCTGCCAGCCTAGCCCACTCTTTCCCTACTTCATACCCGTCATCAACCTTTCTCATCCCTCTTTATTGGCTAGTACGCTGCAACAAGTTACTGAAAGCTAGCCAAGTTTCAGGAATCAGAAAAAGCCTACTTTGCAGTTAGTAAAAAAGCGTTAGTTTATAAGCCAGCTTAAGACTTGCTGCTTTTTTCTTTTTCAACTTATCAAAACTTTTAAACTAGCCCCATTTTCACTTAGCCCTTTCCTAATCCAAAGGCAGACGGAAAATCCTGAATGGAAGGCTAACTTTTACCCATGATTAGTGAGCCAAATCCAGAATGTACTCCACCCACTGCAGCTCTTGTATATATCCCGGTTACCTTCACCCTCTTTCATCTGTTCTTCTCTGTCTTCTGTCTCTTCATTAGCAGCTATCTTAACTTTGTCTTCAGGTGATTTCTCAGTAGCCTCTGGGGCTACCTTGGTCTCATCCCCATCTCCAGCTGCCTCAGACTCTTCTACGGACAGTTTAGTCTCCACCTGGCTAGGAACCAGCTCTGCTCTGACCTCTACTCCTGAGCCACCTTTTGGTTCTCCTGCAGATGTTTGTGGTTCAACAGGCGTCTGGTCTCCTGCAGCTGACAGCCCACTGTCTGGACCATCCTTCTCAGAAAGTTCTGATGAAGCCTCTGTTTCCACCTCTGGTGACTCCTCAAGAACAGCCTTTCCTGGCTCATTTTCAGATGAATGAACCTGCTCCTCTGGCTCCTCCCCACCCAAATCCACTGGCTTGACTGCTGGCTCTCTAGGTGATGCTTCTCCCTCCACTCCAGTGCCCTGTTCTTCTGGAGTTACAACAGATAGTTCTTCTGAAGCTTCTTTATGCTTTTCCTCCATTTTCACAATTATTTCTCCTTCCTTCTCCTGATCTCTTTTTTCTTTGCACTCTTCTTCCTGAACGTCTGTTCCAGATACTGATTTTCCTTCCTCAGCACCTGGTGTTTCCTGTTCTGGCTTTCCAGAAGCAACCTCAGCTTCATTTAGTCCTGGTGCTGCCGCTCCATTTGCCTTGTTGGTGTTTTCAGTTAACTGATGTGGGGTTGATTCAACTTTTGCCCGTAGCTCTTCTGCAGGCTCGCTTAAATCCGTATCTTCTCTTCCTCCTGTCTCCATTTCAGTCTCTTGTTCCTTACCAGTTTCAGGCTTTACCAGAGATCTATCTTCTGTTTTTTTGGCTTCTTTTTCTCCCATCGCGTCATAAACCTGTTCTCTCAACTCTTCCCTTGCTTCCTCTACATGGTTAAAGAACATGAAGCATAAACATGTCTTCGAGTTTAATGATAAAGGCATAAATGGAAATGTAAAAATGTAAAAATACATTCCCTTTAAACCCTCAAACAGCCTGGCATATAAGCATTAGCAGATGGCCTAAATATTATCTGCCCCCTTGATAAAGTAAAGAGTACCAGCGAGCAGAGCAACTTAATCCAAAAGAAACACAAATTTCTTAAATGAGATGGTTTTACTTGAGCATTCTGAGTATCAGTTAGGTAAGAAATGCCAAGCTTTTCATTCTCCTCTAAATATTAGAGACCCCCATGTGATATGTAAATCTGAAGTAGCCAAACTCAGCATAGAAATTAATGTTTAATTTTCTTAGACACAAAAAATAAAAGGTCTCTGAAAATACTGTTAAAATTGAGCTATACAGACTTAAAATTTGCATCAGAAAAAAATTTAAGGTTGAAATGATATTTAGAACAATTTAAATAAATAGATCTGTTTGAGAAAATAAATTGTCCTCTACAAAAATCTGCTATCAGTTTCAGTAGCTGGCTAATCCCCACTGCAGTCTCTACTAGATGCAGGTGTCATTCCAGGCATCTTAGGAAAAATTGTTTAAGGAAGGGAGAGCCATTTCCATTACTTATACACAGGACATACAACATCGCATCTCTTAAATACCACGTGTAACTCTACATACCATCTATGTTATCATTATTTTCCACCAAAGACTCATCTTCTGTTTTCTCTCCTTCCTCCTCTTCCACATGCACACCTTCCAGAGCATTGCCCAATACACCATTCTCCATTCTAGGAGAACAAAAGGAGAAAGCACCAAAGGTATGATGGCTAGAAACAGAATTTTTCATTAAGACAGAAATTGCAAATTTATGGAGATGCAAGAGGATAGTAAGCAACAGTAGAGAATATACACTGTAAGTGCTCGTGGGAGAAAAGCAATGATCAAAAGCACTGAGAGAAAGAAGCATGTCCCTTCCATTATCTAGCAACATGAAAAGCACTGATGACTCACCAAATGAACAAACCTTATATAAAAATCACTTCACAATAGGACCATATTTCCCAAACTTTCTATCTACCCATGCTTATCTATAGAGCCAATAACATTCTGGTGAAAGCCTCATAGCACATCATCAGAAGGCACATAAGATGTACAAAATTATAAAATTACCAGAGGTGACATTAAATAGATGACTAATTATTTGTAGCTTGTTTACCCTCAATATAGATTATTCTGGTTAATAGACTATGGTTGAAAATATCCAACAATTGTAATAGTAGGACTGTTTTATGAGTGTTATTTACTAGATATTAGTAATGCATGCTAGTGTAATGCATTTAAACTGTCTTTTATTCACTCCTTGTTAAGGGCGATTGTTTTATAAGCTAGCTGAATGCTTTCATTATTTGTTTGCTTTTGGGTTTTTTTTTTGTACTTTTAAAAAATTCTTTCTATACTGGCCTTGACTCAATTGACCATTCACTAGTGGAAAAATCTTTTGATCTCAAAAGCAAAAATGTAAATACAACTTCACATTCCTTTAAAAACTCCCTTAGTAGAACCAGGCTCACTTACTCATGTGAAATCTCTGAGAAGAAAGCTTAAGTTTTTTTAATAGACCATCAAAACTGATACACAACATCCTACCTATAAAATAAGACTTGAAAAACATACCTTGCCAACTCCAGAAGTGATTTACCATAGAAAAAGAAGGCTTCTCCACATTCATTAGCTGTTTCTCCATACTTTTTACCTCTACAAAAAGAACAAACATCTAAGATATGAATTAAAATATTCTAATACTTATTTCCTGTTCTTTAGTTAGAAAATAACACTTCTTCAGTCCATGCAAAGTAAGTACTATGAAAACAACCCTTCTAATGAAACCAGTATTCCCTCTGGTTTATGTCAAGGTCAAAGGGACTTTTAGAAATAATGCATAAAGTTAATATTGCATGTTCTTCATTTATATACAATTCATGTTCAAAATCATACCAATTTTTTACAGTTAGTATAGACTCTGGAAGCTAAACTGCATTAATAGGTATTCTTCCTATTAAAGATCAGGGAGGGGAGGTGTCAATATGGACCAGAATAGAGGACCTTTGGCTGGGCACTAGAGGATAAGTAAGGTCTGTGGAAAGGCAGCACACTTATGTTGTCAACAGCATGATCTTTGAAACAAGTTTGCGTGAGTTCAGATCCTACCACTGCCACTCAACTAGCTGTGTAACATTAAATATGTTACTTAACTTCATAGCGCCTTAGTTTCCACAATTGTAAAATGGAAATTAGCAACTGTTCAAAGAATTATTTTAAGAGCCAAATCAATTAATGTATGTAAAAGCATTTAAAACAGTGTCTAGAAATGCAATAAGCACTATATATAAGTATTAGTCATTAATATACCTAGACAGGCAAGAGGAAGGGAAGAAATTATACAAGTGTGAAAAATAGGAAGAGGTAACTCCTTTATGTAGAGAAAGGAGACCAGCTTTACACAAAAGAATCTATTAAGAATCACATGGAGAAGCTTACCAGGAAGAATTATGATGACAGTCATGTTTTTAAGGATAATCTACTTTATTAGAATAATGCTTCTCAAATTATCCTCCTACATACCACAAACGGCAAGATGACAAGAACATTGATTTTTCCATAAATCGGGGAAGAGTGGCCTAAGATGTGTACTCATCTTAAATACTTAATCTTAAATTCCTAGATGCATTTTACATTTGAGGATAACCATATGTTTTAATGGCAAAAATGCCTTAAGTACTTACTTCACATCAGGTAAAACTTGGGCTCTACTCCTAGCACACTATAGACTCAATTTATGAAGTTCAGGTATAGAGGAGGTATAAGAGGCCAGGAATTAGACAAGAGATTAACAGACATTCAGGAGTAAGATTATGTTCTGGATATTAAGAGGAGTAGGGCTGGAAAAGAATGAACTGACAGGACCCTCACTGAACAGAAAGAATGAAGAAGCCAAAGGCTTTTTATTTTTATCACAGTAAGCCTCAAACCTGGAAACTATAAATGCTTCATTAAAAGTACTTATTTTATAAGTAATACTTCTTTAACTCAATTGTACATAATGTAATCAATTAGAAAACATAACCGATCATCAATGCCTATCCCAAAAAAACCAAACCCACTGCCATCAAGTTGATTCCGACTCATAGTAACCTCCACTGGGTTTCCAGCATGGTAAATCTTTATGGAAGTAGATTGCCCAGTCTTGCTTCTGCAGAGGCTGGTGGGTTTAAACTGCCAACCTTCTGATTGGCAGTCAAATGCCTTGGCACTCTGCCACCAGAGTTCCTTCTAATTGCTATTAGTATTTTAAAGAAAAGTAGCTCAAATCAAATCCTGGGGGAAAAGGTAAAGAAACCATTTTTATGCTTTCAAGGCACTAAAGCTAACCTGTTGCCTCCAAATATAGACATTATATGGCCTTCTGGTCGCAACTGCCAACTTCCAAAGCTATGGCAAGAACAGCTCAGAACGTATGAAAAATTCTGTGCTAATAATAGCATTAACAGATGGTTGGCATTAATAGCCAACCATCACAGCCTACTTACAGCTGATGAGTTTCCTGGGACACATCAGCGCAAAAATCAGGAAAGCCACAAACTCTAATTAGTGGTAACTGGGGGTAAAAAATTACCTCAGGAAAAGCAAAGGTTGAAATTGCTCAGCAATGTTTAGATTTCTTAGTTATAGTAACAGGAATAAACTACTACATGAAAATAAAATCTTTTAAAATTCTTGCTCTTCATTTTTTTTCTTCATAAAACAATATTTTACAATGCAAGGCTTATTAAGAACTTATATTATATCACAGAAAAACATACAATACTTACAAAAGACTAGCTGCTTCCTGGAATGCATTGACAGCTGCTGGAATATCCCCCATCACCAGATGTTTCTGTCCTAAACCCAGTAGTTTCTTGGCTTCACCATCCACATCCAAACTGCAAGAAAAATAAAATTTTAAAGTGTCAAACCCTGTTTAACATTTTTTTAACATCTACTACATTTAAGCCATAATAATTTGTTTTAAACCATTGGCCTTCTCTGGCAAAACCAAGGAAACTCACACTTACTTATCCCTGCAAAACCAAGAGAACTCTCAAGGGCAGCATTCTCAGAAGCTAGACTAGAATATTTTCTCTTAAAGGATTATCTACTCACAAAGCCTGGATTGAACCATAAATATTTGCTAATTAAGCACTAAATAAAAAGGGAACCATGATTACATATAGTAAGTTGTACTGCATAAAAAGGAAAACTGAATCAAGAAACATTTCAGAGCGGTTACAGGGGGCAGGAAGGGGGAAAGAGAGTCATTGTTTAGGGGGGCACTGAGCTATATACTCTGTTATATTTTATATTTTTACATACACTAATTTACCACAATGAAAAAGGAGAAACATTTGGGTGAAGATGACAAGACTCAATGATTTCAAGATCCAAGACAATGTAGTATTAGTATAAAAGCAAATACATCTATTTGGCGAGTAGCAACTGGAATCTTAAAAGCTTGCAAGCAGCCATCTAGATGCAATGATGGGCCTCTTCTTGTCCAGAGCAAAGAAGAATGAAGAAAACTAAAGATTCATGGAAACAATTAGTCCTCATGACTGGTACACCATGGGATCCGAAGAACTAGATGGTGCCTGGCTACCACTGTCAACCACTTGAAAGGGGATCTATGTAGGAGATCCTGGATAGAGAGGGAGAACAATGTGGAACAAAACTCAAAATCATTTGGGGAAAGGCACTCCAACATACAAACACCAATTAAATATAAACACAAAAGGTCACAATGCTTCGGAGACAACAGAGCATCACAGGCCACACAAAGAAGCAGGAGAAACAAGAGACCAGGATACAGACCCAAAACACATCCCTGAGGAAGATGCAGCATTGAAACTCCCTGAAAAGGAATTTTAAAGAATTATATTTAGGTATCTTCAATGAATTGAGAGACAGATAAGGAAAACACAGAGAAAACCCTAGAACAATTTCAAAAGACAAAACAAGAACAAAATGACAAAATAAATGAAAAATTAAAAATGATACAAAATTTACACACAGAAATCCAGAAGATTAATACCAAATTTTCAGAAATAGATTAAGACATTGAATGGACAAAGGAGCAGAACTGAATCAATGAAAGACAGAATTAGTGAGATTGAAGGCAAATACCTGAACACTTTAGAAAGGGATAAGTCAGAAAAAAGATCAAAACAAAATGAAGAAAGCCTAAGGTTCATGTGGCATACCATCAAAAGGAATAACCTACGTGTCATCAGAATTCCAGAACAGGAAGAGAAAAATAAAATCACTGAGAAAACTGTCGAAAATTTGTTGGAATAGAATTTTCCTGGTATGATGGACGATGAGAATGTACCCATTTAGGAAATCCAACGAACCCCAAACAGGATAGACCCCAAAAGAAAATCACCCAGACATATCATCAAACTTACCAAACCCAAAGACAGAATCATGAGAGCAGCATGGGAAAAATGAAAAGTTAGCTATAAGGGGCAACCAATAAAACTAAGCTCAGATTTCTCAACAGAAATCATGCAGGCGAGAGGACAATGGGATGGTATATATAAAACCCTGAAAGAGAAAAATTTTCAACCAAGAATTATGTACCCAGCAAAATTGTCCCTCTAATACGATGGTGAAATTAGGACATTTCCAGATAAGCAGAAATTAAGGGTATTTGTTAAAACCAGACCAACCTTACAAGAGATGCTAAAGGGAGCCTCTGGACAGAGAAACAACAAGAGCCAACAACTGACCATTAACACACATGATGATATAACCCAGAAACCAACCCAGCTCTTGAAGTATCCAAAGTAAAGAAGCCTACAAGATTGCAAACAGGGAACCAGAGACACCAATTGACAAATGAGGACAACTACAAACCAAAAAGAGGGGAAAAAACTCTGTCATTACAGAAGTTCTAGATGATAGGGAAGTCAAGACAACAAGATAGAATGGACTGTTCTAAGCTTGGGAAGAAAACTATAAATCACAGGGTAAACTGAAAGAAAAATGATAAACCTTCACATCAAAAAAAGAGGACCATCATAAATATTCAGCAAATACTAAAACAATAGCAACGAAGGAAGTGATAACACGATTCATAAACAAAACGAGCTCAGCATAGAAAATTATATGGAACAAAGAAATTGACACCAAAAAAAAGCACAGAACAAAAATGACAGCAACAATTTCATTTTCGCCAATAATTACATACCTGGCAAGGGACTTATCTCTAAGATTTACAGCGGAAGAGTGGATGGTACATACACATAATGGAATGCTATGCAACACTAGAGAATAATGTAGAGTCTGCAAACACTGCATAATATGGATGAACTTGGAGGGCATTATGCTGAGTGAAATTATGTCAACCAAATAAGGACAAATATAGTAGTAGTTCACTGTTGTGGAGGGCCAAGGAAAGGTTTATATATGGAGGGAAACTTTCTTTATTGGTTGCCAAGGGTGGGAGGGGAGAGGAGGGAACACTGATAAAAAAAAAAAAAAAAAAAAAAAAATTGACCCTGTCACTTTAGTTTTGTGTATTTCACTGTACATAAATATTTCAATAAAATGCATTTTAGAAAAAGAATAAATATGCACTTAACAACAGGGCCCCAAAATATGTGAAGCAGAAATTTATAGAACTGAAAGGAGAAATTGATACAGTTAGAAATCACATAGGATTTATCTCAGGAATGTAACATTGTTCAAAATAGCAACAACAACAAAAATCTATATATAGCATGGAAAACTGCTAGCTAGGTAAGACACATGTATTAATTTGACAGGAAAGGCAATATACCAAAGGTGGGTGACCAGCAAATATCATCACTAAGGAAAAGAAAGACAGGGAGGTACACAAGAGGTACAAACAAAGGTAAATACTGTAACTTACATAATACTGCATTATGAATAATAACAAACATTAATCTCCGTAAGAGACTCACATACTGGTCTGGCAGACAATTATTTCTGTAGACGCATCTGTATGTGCTATAAGAATGACCACATATATAATAGCGCTAACAGGGGACACTGGTAGCATAGTGCCTAAGGCACTTGACTGCTAACCAGAAGGCTGGCGGTTCAAACCCACCAGCCCCTCCTCGTAAGGAAGATGGGGCAATCTACTTCCGTAGGGATACTGCCTCGGAAACCCAAGGAGGGGTTGCTATGAATCGGGTCCGACTCGACGGCACATAACAACAATAACAACAGGGGGCAAAGTTATGGTAACTTCTAAGCCACAACCAAATACCTTGAGAGCATGAATTGCTGGGCCTCTGGGCTCAGGATCATTGTCGCAGGGGACATCAAGCTCAACTAGCACAACATAGTACACAAAAACATTGTTCTACGTTCTTACTTTGGTAAGTAGCAACTAAGGTCTTACAAGCTTCCAAGTGGCCATCTAAAATGCAACTATTGATCTCTCCTGGTCCAGGACAAAGAAGAGTGAAGAAAATCAAAGATACATGGAAACAATTAGTCCAAGAGACCAGTGGATGATAGGAACCTTAGCCTACAAGACCCTGAGACCAGAAGAACTGGATAGTGCTTGGCTACCACTGCCAACCACTCAGAAAGGGATCAATATAGGAGATCCTCAATATCAATAGAGTAGGAGATAAATGTGGAATAAAACTCAAAATCATAAAAAAGAACAGGCTTATTGGTCTTTTTAGGGATTAGTTAAATGCCTGAGATAGTGGCCTCTAGTCACCGTTCTGGCCTGGAATTATACTTACTCCCATGGCTTAACTTTCAGTCAAACTACAGACAGGCCTATGAGGTGAACAATTACACCATTCCTTAGAACAATCAACTGTGAGAGAACAGACAGCCAGCATTTGCACAGGGAGATAGCTCAGAGGACAGGACTCCAAAGGAAAGGAGGACACAGGGAAAAGGTAACTACAGGGAAGAAGTGGGAAGAGAGAGCGCTGTTAACTCTGTAGGGATTGCAATTAATGTCATGAAACAAAATGTGTATGAACTGCTGTGTGGAAAATCAATTTGCTGTCAATTTTCACCCAAATCTCTTTCTCTCTCTCTCTCTCTCTCTCTCTCTCTCACACACACACACAATCAATCAATATTATACATATTAAAAGAACAAAGAAAAGACCTAGTCATTCCAATATAGGTAGTAAAACAATTGACAATTCAGTACCCTTTCATGATTTAAAAAAAAAAAAAAAACACTGAGCAAAGCAGTAGTAGAAAACTTTCTTAACATGACAGAGGGCATCTATAAAAAAATTCAGAGCTAACATCATACTGAAAATTAAAGACTGAATGCTTTTCCCTGCTGAAATTAGGAACATGAGGATTTTTACTTTCACCACCGCTATTCAACATGATATTGAGAGTTCTAGACAAATCAAGCAAGAAAAAGAAATAAAAGGTATACAAGTTGAAAAGGATGCATCTCTACTTACAAATGTGATTCTATATACAGAAAATTCTAATGACTCAACAAAAAAGCTGTTAGAACTAATGAATTCTGAGAAGTTAAGGATACAAAGTTAACACACACAGAAAAAAAAGTAATCAGTTTTGTTTCTTTCCACCAGCAGAACAAATCAAAAGAAATTAATAAAATAATACAACTTAAAATAGCACCCAAAGTAGTATTTAGGAATAAGTTAGGCCAAAGAAGTACAAGGAACTGAAAACTACAAAACACTGTTGAAAGAAACTAAAGACCTAAATAAACAGAAAAACCTCCCTCTTTCATGGATTGGAATAGTATCTTTAAGATGGTAATACTTCCTAAAGCAATCTACAGATTCAATGCAATTCCTGTCAAATTCATTTCTCCCTTTTTTGAAGAAATGGAAAAGCCGATCTTCAAAGTCTTATGGAATAACACAGGGCTCCGAACAACCAAAACAATAC